GAAAGGAAAGGAAAGGAAAGGAAAGGAAAGGAAAGGAAAGTAAAGGAAAGGAAAGGAAAGATGTTAGAATGAGAGAGGAGGAGAAGGAGAAGTAGTTTACATGTGCAAATTTAAAATGGTAATCAAATAGGCTTGGTGTGTCCAATTCTCTTGGACAGTTTCACTAAAATTAAACTTTCCACTTATCTTGGATTAAGATAGAATGTTGGAAAGTTATAGTTGCCTAACCTCACCCAAAATCTCCAAAAATAAACCATTGAGTACAAATCACACAGGTAGACTTCACACATATTAACACAAAAAAAACCACTTTTTTTTTGCAATACACCAAGTTCCAAAACTAGGTTTATTGCAGACCAAGGGTGGTGTATTGCATGATTGAGGCCAATATGAAGCACAATACATGGGAAAAATGTGCACTGCGATGGTCTCAGTGTTTGGATTCTACATCAATAGAGAAAGCAGAGAGAGAATGCGTAAAGGACATTTTCTGCAATTCACAGTACATTTTTTTTTTCCTTGAGAATTCCTTGGGGTATCTTCACAGGGAAATATCTAACACCTCTTGCACCATATGCTTCAAAACAGTAACTAGCCCCACTGCTTATAAGAGGTTACTTCTATGTTCACTGCTGTGAAAAGATATGGAAGGTATGTACAGGTATGTGCAGCAAAATTGCCCAGGGTACATCTATAAGCCAAGAGTCTTCTCAAAGGCATTCTGGATGGTGAAGATTATGTTTCCCAGAATTTGAATGAGAGGGTAAAACTTCGATAGATGTTTTCGCCTTGTTTTGGATTTGTAACATATTCAACCTAGTCTAATAAAGTACAAGACAGTTTCACTGGCAGAAAGAAGATGATGACATAACATAGGGTTCATGAAAATGGCATGAATATTTTTAATGTAAATTGCAAATGGTCAGGATTTTAAAAATGTTTTAATGCTTGAGTCAAGAGTATCGAGCCTTAATTCTGCTCTGTAAAACCAAGAAACTGTTGCAGAGTTCCAGATCTGTAGATTAAGTAGAGGATTTCTAATGTGTGTAAATCATTAATTAATTAATTAATTAATTAATGTCTGTTAATCCTTAAGTGAAGGATTTCTAATATGACAACTTACTTCTGAATCAAGTTTCTTTGGATCATAGTTTGTAAGCACATGGGTTGTACTTGCATGACCAACATACCTGGATTATGCATACTTTGTTGGAGATTTCATTAGTCCGAAATTACTCTGGATTAGCGTTGTGTTGAATTCATCTCCGCTCTTTGTCCTCATGGCAAGATGCTAGGGAGGGGTTAACCAGCATGAAGGTATTGTCATAGAGTGGCCCTGCAAATATTGGGGTCACTCTAAGTACATTATCCCATTGCAGACACAAGAAAAGAGATCCATAGGGAAGAAAGGAAACAAAGGAGAGACATATTATGTGAAGACGTGGAGAAGGATCTAATGCTGGGAAAGGTGGAAGGAAAGAGAAGAAGAGGACGACCAGAAGCAAGGTAGATGGGCTCAGTTGGAAGAGAGTGAGGGACCAGTTTAGGGACAGAACATCATAAACAAAATCTATCTATGTGGTTGCTAGGAGTTGAAAATGGCTTGATGGCACAGAATCAATCAATCTATTTATAGTACAGACATTTCCAATCTGGCCACACAGATTCTTTTTCTTATATTTCTTTCCATATTTTTCCCTTGTTCAAAAGTACCAAAAATAGCAGCTGGAAGTGTCAGCCTGTTCAAGGAAGCTATCAAGAATTATTCCTTTTCAACTGAGACTAATCCTATTCTGCTGGTGCAGCAGGATAAGTCTTAAACCCAGAGAAGCTGCTGAGTCACCCAGCTATGTTGTGTGAATGCAGCAACATTGAGAACAATGATTGGATCGCCTTTTCTTCAGAACTTTGGAACGTTATCAATTTGAAACCCATGATGAGTAGAAATAGCTACTTACCACAGTTGTATAGGTAAAAGGCTAGTCAATATTCACTGGCCATTATAGTAGACTTAAAATACTGTGATACTGAAAGGCTTTTCCCCCATAGAAATGCTACACTTGTGTCATGTCAAGTAACTGGTAGAGTGAGAAGTGGTTGAAGGAACAGTTTTTGAATTGCTCTCCTATTCAATGTTAACAAAATTCTGTGAATTTCTGTGAGAAAACTGAAATCTCTATGTGAATTTTCTTCAAACTTAAAGGGAATGTGGAGCCATCTCAGGTCAGGTCGAGTTAACATTGAGCAAAATAAAATAATCAGTAACATTAACCACGCATGACTACATGTATGAATCATTGTGGACAGGGGAGAATATGGTGTG